CGACAATATTTGTATAGGCTAGTTCTATCAGAACTTAGCCAATTTAAGTTGGAGAGTTGTCTAGGATTAAAGGAATCTATCCTAGCATTTGTTCCAATGTCTATATTAGACTGGATGTCTACTATTTCTTCTAGTTGTCTAGTACTAGAATTTGTTCTTCTAAGGAACCTATCTAAGATCCCTGATTGTTGATTTATTGCTTCAGTAATAGGTGTATGTCCCGAAAGGGTTTGTGAAGTTCCTGTAAAAGGAAGAGTTTGTGTTCTAATATTCATTTTCTTGGCTTGGCAAGAATAAATTTGTTAGAACTTTGTGTACAAGGGGTACTAGTTCCTAGTGAAAGTTTAGAGAGTTAGTTGGAGATTCTATCAAGTTCTCTGTTTATTGGGGTGGATCTTGTTTTTATAAGCTCAAAGGCTTTGTCTATTTTTTCTTCCAAATTCTTAATCCTATTAAGAATGAGATTCTGGGTTTTATGAATGCTTTTTATGTTCTGGGAAAGCTTTTCTAAATCTCTTTTAGTGGCCAGATCTGTGTAGCTCTGATACCAGTAAAAACTGATATCAGGTACAAGATATCAGGTGTGCAATAAAATGATAAAATAACAAAAATAAAGTTTACAAAGAGTAAACAGATATATAAAACCTTTTTTTATTTTATAAGTCATGTTTAGTGTTTTAAAAAAGACTTTTTTCTATTTATAATATTTAGATATTTTTCAAATTTAAAAATAAAAGTCATATTTAATAACACAAATTTTGAATATAGTTATTTTTTTATAATGATTTTATTTATTTTTTACTTATTTAATTAAAAAAATTTTTTAAAAAAATGAAGCCTTGTTATTAAACCTGACTTTTTTTTGGTATAGTGGAAAGAAAAATAAAGAAACCAAAGAAGAAAGAAAACTCAAATTAAACTTGTTAGTTTATGAATTATCAAATAGTAAAAACTTATTTGATTGGTATAATGAATGGGGAGGTAAATTTATAATGAAAGGCTTAGTTGAGAGGAAAACTAGCTTAGAGGAATAGTTGGAATAGATTTGAGTAGTGGAAATGACTTACTATTTATAGGCCTCAACACTACCATTCATGTTTTACGTAGAGGATTCTAGAGGTATATATTCTAGAGTTTTCTATCTATATGTAATTGTCTACATAATTCTAGAGTTTGTATCATCTAGTAGTTATTAGCATATACCTATGTATTTTTCTAGAATAATCTAGCTTATTCTAGAAGTTTGTATCACATTTTAACAAAATTAAAAGGAGCATCCCGCTCCACAGTTGGAAGCTCATACAAAAATGCCACTTCCCACCTTGATGAGCACCAAACTTAGCAAGGATATCAACCAATGTATTAGATTCTCTAGGTACATGAGCTAAGTGGAAGACCCAAACACCTTCCATAAGCATGCGAATCACTAGTGAAAAAAAGGCTTTTAAAATCGGTTCTATAACTGATTTTAAAAGAGCCGATTTTAAAAGTTAGACTTTTAAAATTGGTTAAATAACCGATTTTAAAAGTTAACTTTTAAGATCAGTTGTTTTATAACTGATCTTAAAAGTCCTGGCTCCAAAATAAATTAAACTGGAACGGGCCGTTCCAGGTTGTTAAAAAGGCCTAAAAAGATAGTGTGGAACGGGCCGTTCTAGCATAGTTTGGCATAAGTTTAACCAATCCAGAACGGACATCAGAACAGCCTGTTCTCCTTGCAGTACGGGTCGTTCTCCCTGACGAACGGGCGTTCTCCTTGCAAAACGGGTCATTCCAGATTTGAAATTTACCCAAAATCAACCTACAACGAAAATAGAGACAAGAGAAGAGCATGAGAAAACGAAAAGAGACACAAGAAGAGCATGAGAAGACGAAAACAAAAACAAAAACGACAACGAAATTTACCTTATTGGAGACTTTAGAAAATGAGAGCGCGAGAGAGTAAAAAAAGGAATGGTGGGAAAGATTAAAGAGAATGAGAAGGGAGAGAAATATAAAAGGTTTCTGATGATAATTTTAAAATCGATTATTTAAGAATTGATTTTGTATACTACATACAAAATCGGCTATGAAATAACCGATTTTAAAAGTAGCACTTTTAAAATCGATCATAAAATACCCTATCTTAAAAATATTTTTAAGATCGGTTATTTTATGTCCGATCTTAAAAGTACTTTTAAGATTGGTTAAATTTTAACTGATCTTAAAAGTGTTCATATTATTTACAAAATTGTCACTGCGTCATTTTTAAGATCGGTTACCTTGTAACCGATCTTAAAACTCCGATTTTAAATCCAATTTTTGCACTAGTGATTTGTCTCACAAGAAAAAGGGAAACATAAATATGGAGAGCATTGAAGAATGTGTGTGCGTGTGTGTGTGTTTTTTTTAAATATGAGATGACAACATCACAATTTGCATCTCATATTTAACATATTATGAATAAATTTTATTTATTATTCAAGAATCTATAATTATTTAACGTATTATGAATAAATTTTATTTATTATTTAAGAATCAAGAATAATGTAAGATTGTTATAATTGTGGATCCTGCTATTTAGAACATTTTTTATTCATGTAAAGGGAAACATTTTACAATTTTTTTGGTAAATAATTCTATTCAATAAATTTCAAAAATTTCATAATAAGGCTTAAATAAACAGAGAAAGGGAACTAAATTTTAACATCGAGAATTTATTAGAACGATAACTTTGACTTGTGTAATCTATATAAAAATTAAAAAGTCACTATTTAGATCTATCCTATAAATTGAAGGAATATTGATTATTCTATATTCATATTCATATACTGTGCACCCAATCCACCTAACACATAATAATTTGTACAAAGAAGAAATCACATATATAAATATAATTAAGGTTAAAACCCTTATTTGGTCCCTTATAATATTTTTTTGTTTCAATTTAGTCTCACTTTAGTTTTTTGTTTCAATTTGGTCCCCAATAATTTAAATTATTGCAATTTGGGACTTCCGTCCAAATGGTTTAAACGGAGTTAACTGTTGGCCACGTGGATGCCACGTGGATGCCACGTAGATGCATAGGTGGACACCAAATTTCATGAATACACTTGGAACCAGAACTGTCCGTTCTGAAACCAGAACGGCCCGTTCTGCATGCACATGTTATGTGTAAATTTGGCATTTGGAACGGGCCGTGCTGAATCCAGAACGACCCGTTCTAAAACCAGAACGGCCCATTCTGGTTTCAGAACAGCCCATTCTGGTTTCAGAATAGCCCGTTCTGGTTTCAGAACGGCCCGTTCCAGATGCCAAATTTACACACCAATAGTGTAACTAGAGCGGGCCGTTCTAGTTTTAGAACGGGCCGTTCTGGTTTCAGAACGGGCCATTCTAGTTACAGGTGTATTCAAGAAATTTGGCATCCATCTGCGTGGCATCTACGTGGCATCCACCTGACATCCACGTGGCCAACAGTTAACTCCATTTAAATCATTTGGATGGAAGTTCCAAATTGCAATAATTTAAATTATTGGGGACCAAATTGAAACAAAAAATTAAAATAGGACTAAATTGAAACAAAAAAATATTATAAGGGACCAAATAAGGGTTTTAACCTATAATTAAGTTTCTTTCTTGAATGCATGGGTTAATTTCTAGGCATTTCCTTTGGTGCAAGTTTATTTTAGGGGGCACCAAAACCCTCTGTGACAAGGACCACATAAAACATGACATGTGTTTATTTTGTCAGAACTTGTATTTTTTAATAATGTTTTAATATTTTCTATTTAACCCTCATTAATTATATCTTTTTAAATAATAGTCCTAGTCTATTTGAATATGCTTTATCTTCTTTATTTCCCTTCCTGCCTTTTCATTTTCATTTTTCAATCTTCTCTCTCGTGATTCTTTTGAATCTTCTCTCTCGCGCATCTCTGGGTCGGTGCTCTCCCTACCAAAAGCTCCATCAAAGACGGTAAGTTTCCCGTGTAACCTCTGTTCCTACCCTTTTCATTTTCATTTTTCCTCTTTTCTCTGTCGCATCTTCTTGCAAGCACCTCTGATTTTTTGTTGTTTTTTGTTTCTGATGATCTCCCATTCTCTGGTCTCCGGTGCTCCAAAACCTACTCTCCCTACCAAAAGGCCCATCAAAGACGGTATCTTCACCGTGTACCCTCCCTTCCACGTACGACATTTCGTTAGTCATTTTCTTTCTATTACTGTGTTTGCTTTATTTTTATCATCTTCATCTTCAAAATTAGGTTTGTTCTTCATTTTTATGAGGTTACTCTTCGAAAGGGGATTTATTTTGAAGTTTGTTAGAAAGTATGAAATGCATGTTAATTTTATTAAAAGGTTTTATTTGTTTTGACTGAATAACAAGTACATTTATAATATTGTGTATTTTTTTTTATCATTGTTATGCAGATGGATGAGTTTAAAGAAATGTGTAATTTGAATGAAAATGGTTTTATTGATTGTAACCGTAGTGAGGTTGAAAAATAAATTAATATAGATAGTCAAATTGATGAAGAGGTTAATTTAGAAGATGAAGGTGATGAAGATGTATACAAAAGTTATCTTGATCTGACGGCAGATGATATTTTTGGATTGGAGTTTGCAAGTGAAAATGCTGCTTATAAATTTTATTTCACTTATGCTAAGTGTCATGGTTTTGGGATCAGAAAAGATGAGGTAGGTTATGATGATAAGCACAATATTGTGATGCGACAATATTTATGCAACAAAGCTGGATTAAGAGACAAAAAACATTTCATGAGAGATGATAGGAAAAAAGAACATAGACCACTATCTCGTACAGATTGCAAAGCAAAGTTACGTGTGCATTTGGATCGTCAAACCTCTAAATTTAAGGTTGTTTCATTTGAGGAAGGTCATAATCATAATCTATGTGGTTCTAATTTTGTGCAATTAATCCGTACGTACCGTGGTTTGACTTTTGCAGAGAAAGTTCAGGTTGATTCATTACATGCCCAAGGTGTTAGGAATGCCATATAATGGGTTTTATGTTGGACCAAACAGGTGGGCATACCGGCCTTAACTTTAACAAAAAAGATTTGTTCAATCATATTGAGCGTAGTAAGCGTTTTAAGATCAAAGATGGAGATGTAGTGGTTGCTTTAAGTTATCTTCAAGGCAAGGCAGATAATGATCCACTATTTTTTTCAAGGTACATGATATCATCTGAGGGTTAGTTGAAACACCTATTCTGGGCTGATGGTACGAGCAGAAGTGATTTTTCAACGTTTTGGTGATGTACTTGCTTTTGATAGTACATATAAGAAGAATAAGTATAACAAGCCATTGGTGATTTTTTCTGGTAAAAACCACCATGCTCAAACTGTTATATTTGGTTGTGCTATTGTTTCTGATGAAAGTATCGAGGCATATAGGTGGGTGTTGGAATCCTTTCTGAATGCAATGTCAAATAAGCAACCAAAAGCTGTAGTAACTGATGGAGATGGTGCAATGAGAGAGGCAATTAAGCAGGTATTTCTAGAAGCAACACACAGGCTTTGTTCATGGCATTTGCAAAAAAATGTCTGTCAGAATGTTAAGAATAATAATTTTTGGAAGGATTTCAAAAGAGTAATGTACGGTAATTATACCCCAGAAAAGTTTGAAAGATTATGGAATGAGTTAGTAGAAAGACATGAACTACAAGACAATAATTGGGTTCAGCAAACTTACCAAAAACGATTTATGTGGGCTACTGCTTATTTACGTGACAATTTTTTTGTGGGTATAAGGACTACATCTTTATGTGAAGGAATAAATTCATGCATAAAGTCTTATTTAAAGAGAAAAAATACTATAGTTGAGTTGTTGTACAATTTTAAGTATTCTTTAAGAGATTATAGGTATAATGAGTTGTTGTCTGATTTCAATTCTTTTTATACAGAACCTGTTTTATCCATGTCTTTGCCCTTAATTGAAAAAGAAGCCTAAAAAATATATACCAGTGATGTGTTTAAATTGGTAAAGGTTGAGATTGTTACTGCTAGATCTTTGAATGTTATTGATACAAATGACAATGGTGATAAGGTTACTTTCACAGTTGACAATTATAAGCATCATCAATCTTTACAGAATGTTGTTTTTGACAAAGATGAGTGCAAATATGAATGTGGTTGTATGATGTTTGAATCTTGTGGCATTCCTTGTAGTCATATTATATGTGTTATGCGATATCAACATGTTCATGTGTTTCCTCCAAGTTTAATATGCAATCGATGGTTGAAGGATGCTAAAAATTCAGTTTATATGTCTTATGAGACATGGGATAATTCTAATGATATGATTATACTGCACGCTTTGGGGTTTTAAGTGCATGTTCTAATAGACTTGGTCGCCTTGCCTCAAAGAGTCGTGAAAGTTATAATTCCATAAGGAATGAAATTTTAAAGCTTACTGATAAGTTACAAAAAGAAGTTGGTTTGCAGCCCAATGGATATGATGCTAGTAATGATTATTGTGACCCCCTTGTTGTTAAGACAAAAGGTGCCCATCAAACAAAAATGTCAAGAAAAAGAGTAGGAATTGTCCTAATTGTAATTTAACTGGTCATGTAGCTTCAACATGTCCTGTCCTCCTTTCCATGGATTATAACTTTAGTTCCAGTGAGGATACTACATAATTGGATCATGCTGGTGATGAAAGTGTAAGTTATTTATTTTGAAATATCATTTTAGGTAATTAATTTATTTATTTGACACATCAGTTATATAAATAATTTATTTTGTTAATTGCAGGAAAATTTTACATCCTCTGATGATGATACTAACAAAGAAGATGGTAGTAGCGCTCTAGTGAAGGTATTTATTTTGTTTAATGTATATCTGAAAAAAGTTTAATAGTCTCATTATTTGTATTTTGTGATTAATTTATGAAATTTGTGCTTTTAATCGAATGTACAGAATAAACGAATGGATGATGATTTAAGTATACACTACTAGAAATATACTATTTTACATCACCATATCTACATCGGTTTCATTAAAACCGATGTAAAATAAAATTGTGGTGGCACTTTTGTAATTAAATGAAAAGTATAAGTATTATTTTAAATCGGTTTAAAAAAACCGATGTAGATGTGATGCGCGAACACATCTCTTTTCAAACCCTCGACCCCAAATCTCGCGAGGGAGGCCTCATATTTTCCCTTTTCCCCTTTCTCAAATTAGGGTTTCGACGAGCATGGTGGAGGGTCCCGCGAGCCCCGGCGACGGCAGCCACAAGAGCGGCGACCACACTCGGTTTCGAGGATTATATTGATCCCTTTTTCCCATTCTCTTTTAACTCTCTTCAATTCCATGGCTAACCAACCACAATCCTCCGATGCGTAACCTTCTTCTTCCTTCTCAGATCTCCATTCCATTCTTTTTTTCTTTTTTCTTTCTCTTTTCTCACTCATTCCATTCTCAATCTTTCAGCAAAGGAACAAAGAGGGATTTCAGCATCGCGATCTTGGAGCAGAAGAAGGCGCCCAACCGACTCATCGTCGACGAGGCTGTAAACGACGACAACTCCGTCGTCGCGCTTCACCCCGCCACCATGGAGAACATTTGATTTTTCCTCTGATTATCCTGGGATTTGGGGATTTGGTTATCTGGGTGGTGATAAATTATCTTCTTTTGTTGTGCATAGCAACTCAGGGTTAGGTGGGTGTAGCAGCTTCTCCGATGCGCAAAAAAAGTGTTCAGGTCCTTTCAGGGTGGTGTGTATGACCCCAAGCAGCAACAGCAGCAGGTCCGGGGACAGAAATGGCAGCCCCTTCCTTTTCTTCTTGAAACCGGGTCAGTTACATTACATTTAGCTAATAAGGCCATAGTTTTGTATCTTAAATTCATGGGATTAAAATCACTTACATGAATCTTATAAACATGCTACATTGATTATATTTGTTGAATAGGTATGTGGGAGTGGGAGAATCAGATGATGTGCAAACCTTCTACTACTTCATTGAGTCAGAGAACAATCCAGAGGAGGATCCTCTCATGCTTTGGCTCACTGGTGGTCCTGGTTGCTCAACCTTGTCTGGCCTTGTCTTTGAAATAGGTGATACCTACTTTTTGTTTTCCAATTTCTAATTTACTTCATACTTATGCACGTGCTACACTACAAGAGCTATTAATACTAATCTTTACAAGTAATACTTATGTTTCTTAAATAAGTAGTTCAAAATATGAATTGTGATTTTAGATATGGAATAAAGTATGATGGAAGATAAATATTTACTTCACCTATATTTATAGTTTCAGATAAAAATTAGTTACTATTTTCAATAATAGATATTTTAAGTTACCAAAAACAAAAAGACATTTCAAATCAATACAATGGTTAAAAAAAGAAAAAAGAATTACAATAGCGGATACTTAGATGTTCATTTTATCTATGTGCCGCAGGTCCCCTAGCATTCAAATATGAGGAATACAATGGAAGCCTGCCCAATTTGGTCTTGAGGCCACACTCATGGACAATGGTGCTCTGTATCTGTATGCAACCACATTTTTGTTGCCACAAATATATATATATATATATATATATAGTATGGCTGATGAGTTGTATGCTGATGATGTGAGATGTGTGCTGTTATTGTTGAACGTTGTGGTATTTTAAGTTGATATTGTTAAGCTGGTTGATGTGCTGATATCTGTAGTTTTCTTTTCACACATATATATATATATATATATATATATATATATATATATTAACTTTTATTTCATCATATCCTTTTTGTGTTAGGCTTATTTACTTGCTGGTATTTAATATCATAACTATTCTTGGTAGGTTAGTAGCATTATATTTGTAGACTTGCCTGTTTCCACGGGCTTCACTTATGCCATAACAGAGTCTGCTTCTCAACGAAGTGACTGGATGCTGGTTCACCAAGTCCATCAATTTCTTAGGAAGGTATTCCTACAAATTTCATTGTTTTTATTATTTCACAATTATCACCTTTTGATTGCAGCTAAATCTGTTAGTCAATTATGTTGTGACAATCATGCTCAAATGTTTGTAGTGGTTGATTGATCATCCAAATTTTTTGTCAAATCAAGTTTACATTGGTGGCGATTCATACTCTGGTATTCCTATTTCAGTGATTGTTCAAGAAAGTTCACAAGGTAAAAAAACCCGAATATGATTCAACGTGTACGACAAAAATGGAAACAAACATATGTAGAAGCTAATATCCACTTGACTGTTTGATGACGATTTATATGTACACCATATTTTCCCACCAGCCTCATTGGATTATCATAGGTTGCTACTTGCTATAACTGCGTTGAAAGTTTAATTATTGGCAAATTTGCTTGTTTTTAGGAAATGAAAAAGGGGTCCAACCATGGATAAATCTCCGGGTTAGAATCTTTATCTCTTATGAGTATATTTATTTTAACTTTTTTTCTTATAAATATTACGAGTTCTGAATATGTTTATGTGTCTAAATTTTTTATTCCAGTGGCAGTTACACTCTCATAATAATACATATATATTTTATTTTTTGCTTTTTGGGGGTTGCATGCAAACATGTCCTAACTCATATTATTTGTTTGCATTCCCTTCACCTTTCTCTAACCATTGTGTTTGTTGAATGTTTATGTGCAATTATATTTTTTAATGTGCTGATGTTAAGTACGGGAAGCATGTGCATATTCTTCCCGTGGATGATACCATTGAGGGTGTCACTGGGAACCTCTTTGATGCCTACTTAAAACGTGAGTCGGTTACTATTTTTTCAAGGTTTTGTTTGTTGTGTAGGAGAATTGGGATTGGATTGTCTTTGGATAAACTTGAGTAATTTGAGTGCATAGGATGGTTTTAACAAAGGCAGTAATTAAGTAGTACTATTATTATCCTAAAAAAATAGTAGTATTATTATTACTGTCTAACTTGCTCTATTTTTATCATATAATGTGCATGTAGAAATAAATTTAATAGTGTAGAAATAGTATGAGTTGTGTATATGTATATAAAAAGTGGTGTTTATAGTAACAGAGAGTTAGAGTAACTTATATAAGATTTTTATGTTTGAATATTATATAAAATATTTATATAATATTTATTTTTCTTTTTCATTGTTTAGTTGCAATGTTATATGTGTAAATTTATCTTTAACATATAATTATTAAATTACCATTATTTATCCTATTTTGCTGATCCATTACCGTTTTTCAATAATTATATATTTGCTTCCATTTAGGCATTGATCTCATCATCATTATTATTATATAGTAATAAGATTGACAACAAATAGTGTGTCTTGAAGCATTTGATTGTTCGTTAACTGTTTGTACTGGTGATCTAAACAAATAATGCAAATATTGTTGGATCTAGATCCGTATTATGATTCAAACAAATGATGATATCAAAATGTTGGATTGAACAAGATAAATATAAATTTCAACATGTCTGGTAAATCCCTAACAAGAAGAATAAATTACAAGTGTACAACTTATTCATTTTCCTTTCTGTACTTTGCTAGCTTCTGAGGCCCGATAAGTGTCTTATGGATTGTACAAATTTCTTTTCTTTTTTTTTGTGAATATTTGCATTATGCAAGACATTTATTTATGACTTTAGAATAAGGGTATGTTCTACTGTGAATGCTTATAAACTTTTATATTGTTGAAAACTTTTCTTCTCTCTTCCTGTCATTTTTAATTTATATTTACCATTAATTATTTTTTTCATGTAGGATTATCAAACTATTACTTCACCACCTGTCTATATTAGTCCATTTGACTTAGGTCCTAAGTATGCTGATAAATTTAGAGTAGAGTTTCAGGAGCTGTTTGCCTTGCAAATAAGCATGATTTTTTTAAAAAAAAAAAAATCAATCTACATCGGTTCTCAAGAGAATCGATGTAGATTTTAGCTTAAATCTACATCGGTTTTTCAGAACCGATGTAAAAAACTATACATTTTCTACATCGGTCTATTCTACATCGGTTTTAGAGTAGATGGCTTTAGAGAACCGATGTAGAATGTGCATATTGTAGTAGTGATAACAAAATTGAAATATAAGAAACAAAGGGTTTCAAAACCCAATTTGAAGGAGGAGAACATTGTAAGTGAATTTTATTTTCATATATGTATGTCTTAAAATATTAATCTTTGCATTTGATTATAATCATTGATTTGTATTGTCATATTTAATTTCAGAAATTGAAAGCAACAGATTTAAAAGTACATACAGTTGGTAGGAAGATTTGTGATAAAAATGTAAAAGCAAAAGGAAAAGCAAGTTCTTGTAATTTAGTGAAAGATGTGAAGATGAAGTCTTCAAGTCAAAAAATATAGGTCCAGTTTGTGATTAACTTTTGTTTTTGTTGAGTTCGTTGAGGATCAAAATATAATTTATTTATAAACTTGTAATTTGTTTATGTTAATGAAGGAAGGTGAAGAATCTGACAAAAGAGATGTTTTATCCCCGACATCATTTGAAAGAATTGATTTGCTCCATACTTATAATCAGTTTCCTCTTGTGCAACATCCTTTTTATAATCATATCCAGCAACAACAAATGTTAAACTTCCAATATCCACAATACTTGCCAATAAATGAGGTTAGTTAATTTTGTTTCCGTAATGTATATACATACATTATCCATAATATGTTATTAATATATTAAAATTAAAAAATTGATCATCTTGTAGAATTTTCGTTTGTTGAACATGGCTGGGGCATCTGGGTGGTCTTACTTACTTCCAAATGTTATGAATGGTGGCACTGAACCAAGTAAGTTTGTTTGTTGAAGGTGTTGTACATTAAAATAATGTTTTTTAATGCTTCTCACGTTATGCATTATTTGTAGGTAAAAATCAAGGTAGAAAATGGTGATTTCCCAGGTTCAGATGCTAAATTTTACAAGCAACAATGGTCTTCGGTACTATAAAGGGTGTTGAGACAATGTTGTCAGTTTGAGATGCAAAATTATTAGTGAAGTCTGAAA